ATGGAGATACAAAAATGACACTTCCACAGGTTACCTACAGATGCTCCTCTAAACTCATGTATCACACCTCCTGGGCAGATAGTGATTGGGAAATAGGTGGCCGCTTCCCTTGACATACCATTTGCCAGAATAAGTGACAGAAGGTTGTAGGAATACTTTTTGTCTAAAGTGATTCTGGGTTCCACCAAAACTTCCCTGTCATCTATAGAGCCATCTTCCTGAAATCTTTAGAAAAAAAAAGGAAAAATTCATTTCTTTATAATAAAGCCACAATAATTGTCTTTGAACAATACATTTATAAACTCTGACCTTTCCAAGTTGAGGCACAGCACAGTGGGTGGGGAATCAACTGATACAGATGCAGCACACAGCTCACTTCCACATTCACTGCAAAGACATTTTGTTGACAATTCTTGAATTGCTGCATCCAAACATGATTGGATGTGAGAGGAAGTGAGAGGTACAGCAATATTCAGGGAAGACTTCAATATTTTGTAAGTCTTGCCACAACATAAAGCTAAAAATAATTATAATATGATCAAATTGCATAAGTATTAACAATATAATCAATCTATAATAATGCCCTTTTTATCATGCTTACCTGAAATCTTCCATAATCCACCAAAAATTTGAAAAACAGGTGATGTTCTCTCACTCTGAAGACTCAACCGCCTACAAAACCACGTGTTTTTTTGTTTTTTTTTTACAAAATTAAAAAATTCTGTGCAATGATGACATGTTAAAAACAACTTACCTTTTAGGGGCATATGATTTAATGAAGTCTACATGCAATCTTGTAATAAATTTCTCCAAATATTTTTGGGCATCTTTTTCCTCTGAGACACCTTTAGAGATTTAGAGGAAAGAAAATCCACTTGTAGAAAAGTCAACACATTTCAAAAAGAGTGTTGCAGCATTAATTATTTACAACAAAAAGATAGTTTAAAGGTGAATGCACACAAACCTGTGATGATTCTGCAAAATTTCTCGGATTGATAGACACGTTCCATTTGAAATAGGGAGAGAAAGTCAATAAGAGCACATACTAGACACTGCTCTAGGCAACACTGGTTTACTGAGTGACCAGGTGAATAAATAAGCCAGTGAACAAAGGCTGGAACATGAACTAGAGCCTAGAAAAATGGAAACAAGAGAGTTCAAAAAGCGTTCGTGGAACAGATGTGAGCGTGCAACTAGGTCACACTACATTTTCCTACCTGCAAAACAGTGCTGGAAAGAGACAAGTAGTCTGTCAGGGCTATGCATTTATGGATGTGTGGAACATCTGTCCATCCCCTCTTAACTTCCTCCGAATATACAATTTCCTCAGCTTCCACACGATCCAGTGTTGAGCTAGTCATTGTTTGGTTCGAAAACTAATATGCAAGTATAAATATACTTCAATTTTAATCACCAAAAAAAATTAAAATATTAAATTTAAATGTCAGACTCAAACACAAGAAAATGTAACCTAGACATAAGTCAGAACGAGAATCAAAACAAAAATCAAATATAAGTGCGCATTGTTGACAATATGACCCCTTGACAAACAGTGAAAAAATAGAAAATAAATACCATGTATCGGTACCAAATCTCTTACAGGGTTCATCAACAGTCCGTTAGTAAACCGAAAATTGTCAAAGAAATGATTCTATGTGTGGAGGGCAGGTTAAACCAGTCAAAATGTATAAAAAATGTAAAAATCACAAACTCGTTCAGAAATTTCAATCGCAAATGTTCTCTAGCAACTAAAATCTTCTCTGCACACATATATCGACCCTGACACCATACCTTTACCATTTTACGTGTTAAAATCGGAACGAAAAGCGATAAACACAAGCGAACGTAAACAACGGTGGGCAACGCACGATATATTTCTCATACCACCCCCTCCACCCAGCCCGCTCCCTCCATTTCCGCTTTCTTGTTCCCCGCATTCTTCTTCTTTTCAGGGTTACCGGAATGCTTTATCCTCCGGGCCGCCTGTGGTGTAGCCGGCGAACCTAACCATGCGCCTTGGTAAGGCAGATGATAATGGTAGATTTAATTTAATTCCATAATGAAATAGAACCAACAAAAATCTGAATGATTAAGAGTGGTGAAGTCGTTTGTTGCATGAGGCGAACGGTGAACGACGTCTAGAAGTTCTAGAAGCTTGGAGGTCAGACGACTGGCGACGGGGCCGACGTTCTTGTGGACTGATCGATCCGGCTGCTTCCTAACCCAACAGCGGCGGTTGCTCAACTGGGCGAGAAGCGATATATACCACAGAATTAGACGCACCTTAAGAAATTCAGTCACGGGAGCGCTTAGCTCTACCGTGCGGCGTGTTAAGCTTATTTTGAGAGGTCATACTAATTTAAGTCGCTCTTTACCTCTGGTCCTGGAGGTGTTCCTCAAGCATTTTGTCTGCAAATCAAAGTTACATGCGTCTGAGTCATCCGATGTCTGACAAGCACCGGCAACATCAAGCAGAGGACCATCATCCCGATGACCATGGAATGCTAGGCCATGCCGCCCCAAAAATATAGTGGCGTGGGGGGACAATGCGGACGAGACATTCATTTTTATCATTTGTTGGATGAACGCCAGAGCACGTCCCGCGTAACAGGTTTCACGATATCTCATGAAGCACTGTTACGCTGTAAGGCGCCTGCCATCTCCCTAGGCCTGCGGCGTTGACACCAGAGTCGGGCAAAAGGCACAGTCGTAAATAGGCCTTCGGCCCTAAAGTAACCAAGTTTGCTCCTCGGGGTTCTATTATGATTAGTTACCCCACCGGACTCCATCAAACATTAAGGAAAAACATTGAAATGTGTTAGGGTCATTTTCGTGTTGAATACGCCCTCTGGTGCCCAAACGGTTAAAGATAGAGCAAAACGGACAAAATTTTTGAGTCTCGTATTGAATTCTGTTGGCACGTCAATTTCGGATTCTTGATTTTTATGATTCAAAGTTACCATAAAAACGTTAACACTCCGTGTTAACACATAGACGATCCGAATAAAAGAAAATTTAATACAAAATTATTGCTACTAATTAAATACGTTATTGCTTGCTAGAACTAGAGTAGTTACGACTCTTTGTTCTTAGATTCACGGAACAAAATCGGGCACTATCACTGCTTATGAGTTCCCGTGCGAGACGAGGCAGTTGTTGGACGATTGATTGGCGACGTGGTGATCGCGCTCGCTTTGGACGAGCGCTAGACCGAGCAACCAGAGGTGCTCGTCGTTGGAGTCGAGG